AGTACTGAATGATAAAAGCCACATTACCCTTAGAGGATCCCAAGCAAGTAGAGACTTGGCAGTAGCCACTTGAGAAAAGGAAGGGTGAAATACTCTGAACATTTGGCCTTTCTTAGAGCTTAGGGAAAGAAAATATCTGCTAGGTTTTTTTAAGTGAACAGAAACATGATATGGTTACTGTAGCTTTCAGAAATACATTCATTCATTCTGCACCATTGTCAGTTATTGTTGCACTATCATATTCTTATAAATTGATGGCTATCATCCTGCATTACAGTTACGGATTTGTAACCTAGAGCAACAGACCTGTAACTGCTCTGTATTCAGTTATGCTAAATATTCACATCATGGCACTATTGCCACAATAGTAAGTGTTCCCTAAATCCCACCTTAAGCCCCAGGGAGCTGCATTGAACAACAGAAGTCAGCTCTGTTTGTAATTGGAGCACAAAGGGGTTAAGTTCACAACCCTCCCTCCAGCAAGTGAGGCTATGGCAATCAGAAGTAGGAACCCTATCACAATTGCTCCTCCCATCATAGATCACTGGCAGGAGATGGCTGGGAACAATGTCCTGCTGTGCTCCAAATCACAGAAAGAAACAGACCTCCATCACTCGGTGTGGCTGCTGTCTGTTAAAGTGGTTTGGAGAGTTGGTTTGGGGAGTTAGGTTGGGAGATGAGACATGGGCTGGTGCAAAAATTATGCACTCTGACACCACTTTAACTGATCATTGTGAGCATTGTGATCTATGACTCAATGCTATGGAACTCTGGGATTTGTAGTATTGTAAGATATTTAGCCTTTACTATCACAGAGCTCTAGTGCCACAACAAACTACAAATTCTAGGATTCCATGAGCATTAAGCCATGGTAGTGAAAGTGATGTCATGAATTAATTCTGCAGTGTGGCAGCAGCCTGAGAAACTTTGCAGGCAGCTGGTTTTACGAGTTCCAAAGGAATGTGCATTTTGGTCAGACCTCCATTACCATTCTATGGGTTACAGAATGTCAAATTAGAGCATATAGTTTCAGTCCTGTTCACCAAGAGTGAGAACAATGGTCTAGAGCTAGCCAGGAGCAGAGACAACTCTCCCTCTCTCTTTCTTCTTTTTCTCTCTTCCTTCTCAACTAGTGCAGGAAATGATGGCAAGGGCCACAGGCTTCCCATTAAGTGGGCTTACTTTTGCATAGGTGTATTGCACTTGATGTATATAGCTTAAAATTACAGCTTAAGCATCCCTTATCCTGAATTTTGGAATCCAAAACCCTTTATGCTATGACAGAAGCAGTGTTGTACATACCTGTACTGTATTTGCAAAACTGAAGAGGCATCAGTGGAGAGAGACATGCAGATCTGTGAAACAGGAAGAATCCATGCATACCACCATTCCCAGATCCTTGGTCTCTCCTCATTATTTCTCATTTTATAGCTATGCAAATACACTTGTCTCCACATATTTGCAGCTTTGACTTTTGCAGATTTGATTCGTGAATTTTATTAATATATTCTCTCTAGGAATATCTAGGTCCTCCAGTGCAACTCTATGGTCAACTTTAACCAAAAGTCACACTGAAGAACCTAGAGATTCCTAGAGAGAACACTCCATTAGACATTTGTAGCTCCTCCAGTGCAATTCTATGGTCAATATCTGGCAGATGTTGACAACAGAGTTGCACTGGAGGACCTAGAGATGCCTAGAGAAGTGTTCTCTCAGGTAAAAACTTTTTGTTATTTGCAATTTTCCACATTCACAGGGGTCCTGTGCTCCTAACCCCAGCAAATGTAGAGGGATGAGTGTACATGTTTTTCAAAATTAAAAAATCCAAAATATGGAACCCAAGCATTTTTGATAAGGGATACTCAATCCTATACTATGAGACCAAATTATGGGATCCAAAAGAGATTATTTTGTTTATTTTTTAAAAAAAGAACAGAGCAAAGAAAAATGCTCCCTAGCTTTATGTTCAGCCACTTCCAATGTCACTAAGAGACAAAAAGATGCACTAGACTTGTCATCTCTGGCATAGGAACAGAATGGAGAACTAGAAAGAACTTGGGAAATGGAAACAACATTGTAATTGCATAGTCACTGAAGAAACAAGAGGTAGAGAGCGTTCTCTGTATTTCCTAATGAAAGCAGTGGGTAGCAAGCTATATAATTTACACAGACATTTGTTTCCCAGGTTCAATTATACACAGTTCTTATGTTTATCCAAGTCAATCTCTAGAGTATAGGGCTCTTTTTTGTTTTCTTTTAAGGGGTTTTCTAACATCGTAAAGGAATGGGTGGAATAACCCACATTGTTTACCATTTTGCAAGGAAAAAGCTAAAAAAAATATAGTTTCAGACATTTTAATTTTTAAACTTGTATATCCTCTACCATTGTTCAACTTATATCCCCTAAATTTCCCAAATATCTTATGCTGCTGAATGTTGCAATCATTTTAACTAGGTCACCTCCCTTCTTTTTTTTATTCCCCTGACATGCTATAATGAGTTGATTCCTTTGTAAATCAGGAGCAACATCTGTGCAGCCTAGCAAGTTAGGCTAGTGTAAAACTGATGGATGCAGACAATGAAAACTTGACCATTACCTGTAACATCCAAAGAGGCATACTTTTCAGTCTTCAGCACGCAGAAAGGTTTTATTAAAGTCTGTGAAAAATACTGGACTAAATTGGGTTTTACCACCTGCAAAAGAAAGGAAAATATAATAGGAATTGGTGACTCTGTTTACTTCACTAGACATTTCTTAAAAAGCTCAATTCATATTGCTTTACAGTTCAAGTAGGAAGACTGGAAATCCTATCCATAGGAGAAGGGAGCTTATTACCAAAAACAACTGGTTGCTCATGTTCCTTTTTACACACACCATATTTTCCAGCGTATAAGACCACTGGGCGTATAAGACAACCCCCAACTTTTCCAGTTAAAATATAGAGTTTGGGATATACTCGCCATATAAGATGACCCCTCTTCCAATGCACACCAAATAAAAATTTTAAAAACATCAGATTTGATTTCAATATGGTAATTTTAATTCAAATGCTTATGACATGCAGGTACTTAGCAGGAAAACTGTCACTTATAAACACAACAAACTACAGCTCCCATGTTCCATAGCATTTATTTCTGCAGTGTTTTTTGGACCTTACTTTTTAAAAAATAGTCCAGATTTAAATGCTGCTTTAAAAATTATTTCCCTCTCCCAGCTATGAGATGGCTGGGGGGAAATGAGAAAATGTTGGGGGGAAGGCCTGTCAATATGATGCATTCTGTGGTATGTACAATTTGCAGCCAAATAAGTGACCCTGGGCATGTCACACACTCTCAGCCTCAGAGGATGGTAATGGCAACCCCACATTTGAAGAAACATGCCAAGAAAACCCCATGATGAGGTTAAAAGTCACCATTTTGACCATTAAAATGTCCTCCATTTTGAGCATGGCTAAGAAGTATGGATTTACATTTATATTAGCCTTTTTAGCTTTCTCTAAAAAAATTTCTTGTATGTCCTACATTTTTGTAGTGACTTGTCCTCCTTTGCATTGAAGACATTTGGTCACCCTGTCTGAGTATCGGAGTATGACTCTGGAAACCAGGGTTCGAATCCTGGCTTAGCCATGGAATCCCCCTGGGTGACCTTGGGCAAATCACACTCTCTCAGACTCAGGAGATGGCAATGGCAAACTCCCCTCTGAAGAAACCTTGCCATGCAAACACCATGATAGGGCTGTCTTAGGGTTGCTGTAAATCAGAAATGACTCAAAGGCATACAACAACAACAACAATCTTAGAAGTCATACTCTCTCAGCCTCAGAGGGTGGCAAAGGCAAACCCTGTCATTGGCAATAAATGATAGGTTCGTGATAGGTTTGCCTTAGTGTCATCATCAGTTGGAAACAACTTGAAGGTGCACAACAACAACAACAACAACAACAACAACAACAGTCTTGGAAGTCACACACTCTCAGCCTCAGGGGAAAGCAATGGCAAACCATTTCTAAACAAACCTTGTCAAGGAAACCCTCCTTTCCCCAGCTTTTCCCCCACTTCACACATGTCCTCCTGGATCAGGAGGATGAGAAAGGCAAGGAAGAAAGGTGGGGGGAAGGGGGAAAGCGGTGGAGAGAAGAAGGAGGACCAGGAGGATGAGGAGGAAAGGTGGGAGGAGGGGGGAAAGCCGGGGAGAGATGGAGGAGGACCTTCTAGTCCTCCTCCTTCTCTCCCTGGCTCCTTCCCGCCTTGCACCTCTATCTTCCTTCTCCTCTTCCTCCTTATACCAGGCATATAAAACAACCCCCAGATTTTTCTGGTTAAAAAAATCATCTTATACACCAGAAAATATGGTAAGTACTTAAATCCTATGATTTTCTTGTGAGTTGGGGTACGATTTAGCCCAACAGACAAGCTTTGAAAGAGGCAGGTTGATTAGGCTGATTAAAAAAATATTTTTTAACAAGAAACATTCTGATGCCAATGAAAACAAAGATCAAGTAAGAATAGAAGTAAAGACAGAAACTATGAAAATGGAGCCTCAGTTCAAAATACCTAATTGGTCAAAATAGTTCAAAATAGTAGCTGGTGATTGCATTTAAAGCCCTAAATGGTCTGGAATGTCAATACTTGAAGGAGTACTTGTCCCTGCATGCATTAGCCAAGGGCCCTGATCTGTCTTCCTGTCAGAGCTAAATACTGTGTGAGAAAGTGGGAAAAGACTCTCTATGCAGTGGTAACACAGTTGTGAAATGATCTCTTCTTGGAGTAACAGCTGATACTCCAACAGCTGGTGACTTCATTTGGTCTCAAGTTAGAAAATGGTCTTTTATCAAAGGCTTTAGTAGAGTCTAACAATTTTGCCCATATATTTACAGGTTGTGTTGGGTGTATGCCTTCAAGTCATTTCTGACTTATGCCTACCCTAAGGTGAAAACTATCACAGAGTTTTCTGTGGCTGAGAGTGTGTGGCTTGTCCAAGGTCACCCAGTGGGTTTCCATGGCCCCACAGGGAACTGAACCCTGATCTCCAGAGATGTAGTCCAGCACTCAAACCTCTGTGCCACACTGGCTCTCATCTCATCTCAGGTTGATGATATGAAACTATTTCAAGCTGTTTCAGTTTGTACAGTTCAAATTGTTTCTCATTGCTTTACATTATTTTAAATTGCTGTAAAATGTATTTCTATGATGCACTGAGGTTTTGTGGTGTGTGTGTGTGTGTGTGTGTGCAATCAGCATTTTCCCAATCTTTCAGTGTAGCACATGGTGCCTCTTGAAGTATTCCCACACAACCTGTATGATCTCTGTATCTGCCCTGTGATTTAAGTCACTCTTAAGAATGATTGTGTCTTTAGGTCCAACTCACCTACTCACTCCATAGTGGAGTGCAGCTGCCACCAAAAATAAATTCGGTGTCCAGTTGGGATATAGTGGTGCTCACACATGTATGAGAAGGCAATCCAAATGCATTCTCAGCTGCATAATGTCTTGCTCTTGTCTTGATACAGAAGAGGTACAACATTTATGAGAATAACCCACTGTAGAGTATAATAATAAATATCTCATCACAGGAGACATATTTATAAATATAAATATAGATACAGATATAGATATTACATCCTCTGTACCCACAGATTTTGCCTCCAGGGATGCAACCATCCACAGCTTGAAAATATTCCCCCCTAAAAAGCAACAACAACAACAACACACCACCAAAAAGCAAATCTTGATTTTGCCATTGTATATAAGGTACATCATTTTACTATGCCATTGTATGTAATGAGACTAGAACGTCCACTGATTTTGGTATCCATGGAGCCAAACTCCAGTGGATATTGAGGGCCAACTGTGATATTGCCTATCTTACAATTGCATGCTGGAGAATTCTTGATAAATTGTTTTTATTTGTAATTTATGATTATTATGTTCTGGTACATTGTGGAAGCTGCCCTCATAGATGTTTTGATTAAACAAACAAACAGAATATAGAATATTTAATTGTATTTTTAAAATGCATAAAAATAATGCCTAGAATTCACAAAGGTAGTTATGCATAACCTCCGTAGTTACCTAGCTACATAGAGTCTCCCAGCCTGATTCCCCACTCCCAAACCCATTTACCGGGCAGCAGCCACTATGAGCAATTGATGCCAATTGATGTTCCCATTCCTTCTCAGGATTCACCTCTTGTGCAACAGCCAGAAGCAAGGTCTCTGTCACAATTCTTCCTCACACTAGCCATTTCTTGTGCAAAGGGATGTGGGGTGCCAACATCAGTCAGCCGCTGAGGATTTGGGGTTTTGACAGGGAATACTTAGGGATCATATATACAAACCAGTCACAAATGCATACCTCTAGATTACACAATTGTAACTGCTGTAGCAAATTCTGGCTGATATAAATAAATAGTAAATAATATTAATGAATATTAAAACTATATAATTGATATAAATACATACTAACTAAATAATAAAGAAAGAACTGATAAATCAATAAATATAATTCATGAATAAACTTTGTTCAGTCAAAAGAAAGAAATTCGGAGTGACACAATCAGAAGTCCTGCAGGAATCCTGGGGTTTCTAGTCACATGGAGGAGCCTCCATGTTTTTCTAGCTCTCCTGCAACCCACAACAACCAGCAGTGCCTCCCTACACTCTTTTATCTCATTATGTTAAAATTATATTGTATTTACAGTTCCATGCTACCTGCTTAACCTTCCCATTCTTCTTAGTTTGCACGATGTGCTGCTTTAGTACAATGTAAGGACTTCAGGTCAATAGCACAATACATATGTTGCATACAGAAGGTCTGTTACAATCCCTGACATTTCCAGATGGTCAGGCTAGAAAGGACTCCCATCTGAAATTCTGAGGAACCACTGCCAGTCACTGTAGACAAGACTCAAGGTAGACAAAACAATACAGTCAGCCCTCCACATTTGCAGATCTGATTTTTGCAAATTTGATTATTCATGGATTTGATTATTTGGTCTCTCTGGGAATCTCTAGATCCTCCAGTGAAACTCTATGGTCAACTTCCACCTAAAGTTGTGCTGGAGGACCTAGAGATTCCTAAATAGAACACTTCTCTGGGGACGTTATCACACGTGGGCCAGAAAGCGATAATAAAGTGGAAATGAGGCATTCTGAAAATAAATAAAAAATAAACCTTGATTCCACAAATGGCTTTCACACGTAATTACCTTAATTGCGAAATCACAGTAAGCTCATTTAACGTTCACACACAAGTGAGAAAAACCCGTAAATGTACTAGAAATGATCTTCTTGCACATGCGCAGATAGAGGAATGCTCACCATGGAACCATGGGAAAAAGCAGGGAAATCCTCCCAAATGCGCATTTGCTTTTCACATTACGGTAAATGCGAAATTACTGTAATTTCGCAAATGCATTTCCTCAAAACTACCAAATTTCAAAAGATCTCGGATAACACCAGTTTCTGTCCAGTTTCTGTGCGATGTGTCGTGTGAAATTGTGAGGCACAAATCCAGTTTCTGTTTGGGATTTCTGTAGATTAACCAGCAGATTTCCCCCATGTGATAACGTCCTAGGTATTTGTAGGTCCTCCAATACAACTCTATGGTCAATTTCTACCAAAGGTTGTGCTGAAGGACCAAAAGATTTCTAGAGAAAACATTTATCTAGTCATTCCTAGAAAGGTGTTCTCTCAAGTTAAAAAAAAAGTGTTTTTTTTAATTTGTAGTTTTTCCATTTTCATGGGGGTCATGTGTCCCTAACCCCAGCAAACATGAAGAGCTCACCGTAATCTGATTTTCTATAAGGCCAGTCCCTCTGTTTGTAGCTATCATACATTATCCTATTCAAGAGGAGCAAACTGTGTCCCAGCCATATTCTCCATACTCCCTTGTAAACCACAGTATTTGATATTTTCTGTTATTTGAGCATTCAGATTACTATTTTATATACAGGTGTGGCAGCATTTAACATATTAACTTAAATCTAAAAACTATATTCCTTTCATTCTGTTTTGCATCTTATCCACTGCAAAAGATAAAAATACTGAAACAGTATTCTCCTCTCCATACAAAGAGAGAGAGAGAGAGAGAGAGAGTATCTCTATCCCTAATGGATCATTTGATGCCACAATCTGCAACAGAAAAGAAATAATCAGTGTCGCAAATTCTCCTATTGATCTAGCAATTGAGCCACTTGTCCCATCTACCATACAAGTGTCAGAGAAGTAAGGAAGGGTGCATCCCTAGGGAACCGAGATATGGAAATGTTATTTAGTAGAAAAGCACATGCTCCAGTGAAGAAAACATGGAGTCTGGGTGGCCTTAAGACTGATGCTGTTGCTACATTAATAAAACAGGCCCAATAATGGTGCTACATTTGTGTGTATAACTAGGTAGCCAGTATATCTGCTTGGTAAATACTTATACCTGTATCTGAGCACCTCCAATTAACTGCTTGGCTTAGCTTTAGCAATGGCTTAAGAACAGTCCTCCCATGGTAAAAAAAAAAAAAAAAGGAGGCAAAAAAGTGTCCTAAATCAGGGTGGAAATGCATATATTTGTATGTTGATAGACAGGAAAAATAATAATAATAAAGCAGAGCAGGCAGGGGAGTGAGGCCAAAAATGATGCAGGGAAACTAGCTTGTGAGCCACCATTTTACAATGAGGCAACCTTGAAATGGGGGAATATGTAGCTGCTTAAACCAAACGTGGCATGATTTGCCTCAGTGTTTATAGTAATAGTTTAAACAGCCCAGGGTCAATATGAATCTGGAGACCCCAGAGTCCATCTGGGTTTTACAGTAAGTGTAGACATTCCCATAGCTATGAATCCATAGTTACATCTCCTAATGTCACCCCCTAAAATGTGCCTTTTCAGCACCAGAATTCATCTAACATGGAATCATAGATCTTAAGAGTTTGAAGGGATCACAAAGGGCATTGAGGCCAATCCCTTGCCTTGCAAAAATGCACAATGACAGAACTTCTGCAAGATCCAACCTTCAAAGATGAGGAGTCCCCCACTATCTCTTCATTTTTTTGAGCTGTACATATGCTCATTTTTATGCAGTGGTTCCTCAAGACCTGAAAAATTATCTCAAGGGTTCTTCCAGGGTAAAGAGATGGAGAAAGACATCCCTGGTATATGTAGAGGCCTAATATTTATATGGATTGACACTATCACACTGAAGGCTTTCCCATCACTATGCAACTGACAGAGGTTAGAGAAGAGTGTCTTGAATCATGATGCTTCTAACCCAGATTTCTCCACCATGATTGATTACAGCTGCTAGGGGCTTTAATCTCCTTCATCCCCAGCCAACATGGCTAATACTGACTAGATATGTCGGGAGTTGTATTCCAGTCCAGGGTGAGAAGCTGGAGAACATTGCTCTAGCAAATTAATTTAGTACTGCACACTTCATAATTGTCAGGGATGCAGTGATCATCATGTGTTAGATAAGGAGCTAATGATCTATCATGGACTGGGGTATTTCCACACTGCATAGTTTATAGTATTTTGAAAACATTAACTGCCATACCTCCATCCTATGAAATCTTGGGATTTGTATTTTGATGAAATGTTAGCATTCTTTAGGGGACACATCTGAACCACAATATTGAACTGAAAACTATAGACCTGAGTTCTGTTACACAGAATCCTAAATAGCTTACAAAACTACACATTCCAGGATTTCACAGCGGAACCATGACAGTTCAAATGGTGTCAAAGTGTTATAACTGCATGATGTGAACACACTCTAGGTCTCGCCAGAGTATTTTTCAAATCCAGAAAAGATGAAGAACTGAAGCTTTTGGTGACTGCATTTAGCAAACAATATTTAATCCCTGGATTAAGTCCTTGATCTTCTTCATTACATTTTGTTTGCTAATTTATCTAACTTCTCCAGTTTTCATCTCAAGTTTTAGGAAATCTTAGGAATCCTGAGCTAGAAAGCACATCATGCAGGTCTACATATGGTACACCCATCACCTTAGCCAAAGGATTCTTAACATGTGACTTATGGACTGCTATGAGATCAATGGATAATCTTTGTGGGATCCAAGAA